TGCCCTCCTGCGAGGGACTCGTTACCAGCCGCCTTGGCCAAGGCGGTCACCGCAAATACTCGGGTCTTTTTTTGTTGCTGGAAACAGGCGTGCTGTGCTCTTGCGTCCAAGGCAAGCCTCCTTCTGCTCGGCACCGTGCAAGCTGCTGGCATCCCCGTCCTCTCCCCTTTCCTAGCTGGAGAGGCTGGGGCGGGGGGGGGGGGGGAAAAAAAGCTGCTGTCCAGCTCTCAAGAAAGAACAGACCCATGGTGGTAGAAAAGCACGGGCCGGTCCCTTCTGGCAATGACATTTGCTTCTCTGGGCTGAGGTCTGGGTGCAACAAACTGTAGAGTTCAGAGCAGCTTCTTCTGGTTTCTATTTCTGTTATTTTTTGAGAGCTGATGTACAAACCCAGTACATATATTGGTTTTTGTACTCATTTTTCTGAGCAGTGACTTCACGCAGCTGTGCTGAAAAACATTGATCTAATACTGCTGAATCTTAGGGAGAGGAAATACAATGAAGTAGCTGAACCAAGTAATTTTTGAAAACTGTGGCCTTTACGTTTGTCAGCTTGCGAAGCAGTGAACATTGAAATTTTGTTTTTCTCCTTTGCCTGTTCCCACTTGCTTGGTGTTCACCGTAGCTTTATAATTGTCACCGGTGGCTGCATTAACTGCTCCTGAAGTCAGACAGGCCTCAGCAGATTTTCATTATTACTGTAATCATTGTTCCCATGCTCCTTTTTTGTCTCCAAAAAAAAAAGGATGCAATTAATTATGTAATTGCAAATATATGGCTTACCTGTGTGCTTATATATAATATTTGGGAATGTTCTTCATGAATTCCTATGTGATGTCTTAAATTTACAGAAGAGGATATTTATAGATGGACACAAAGAGGCACTTTGCGGTACCTTAGCGTTCCATCAGCCAGTGGTTCAGCAGCCAGTGCAGCAATGGCATTTAATAATGCTTTTGAGTTTTATGTTATTGAATAGTTTTTGCTGTTTGATGTTTGTGTCTAGTAGAATGCATTCAACTTACAAAAAAAAAAAAAAAAGCCTCGTTCTTGATGTGAAGTGCTTTTTGTTCTTTTTTGCTTGTTTGATGATGATATCTGCTTTTCTAGGGGCTGGCAAGGTTTGATTGCATATGGATGTCACTCTATTGTGCTGGTAGTCGATGCCAATACTGCTCAGACTTTACAGGTTTTGGAAAGACACAAAGCTAGTGTTGTCAAGGTGAGACGTACATGTTTTAAGGTATATTACTTGATTCTGGTGCGTATATTATTTTTCTAGATCACTGTAAATACTTAACATTATATTGGACTTGATTTTCACATAAAATCTATTGTAAAATGCCTGTATTTTACATGATCTCTTTTACAGCTAAATCAAACCACACATGCTGGAATGGGACCTGAGGTTAATGGTGTATATTTATAGAATATATAGAAGGTATAGAATGTATAGAACATTTTGGTAGTGGTATAGAACACAGACAGAAATGTTTCTAAGAAAGCTCTTAACATGACAGAATTTCAAATGAACATTACAAAATATCATATGAATCTCTTTGTTGATGCCCTTGGCTGATCTTTCCTGTTGTGGGGGTAACCAGTGCACCATTTGACTAGAAAGTTACTTATAAGTTTTTACCTCTGTTCTTACCTATAGAAAAGGAACAATAGCAGACAAAACTGAACATTTATTTTAGTGATAAAAAATGGCTAAAATTTAAGCTTAAGTGTAGGGTACCTGTGCTTTCCTTTGAAGGTCCTTGACTTGAAATTGCAGAGAGTTTGACTTTGGGTCAAGTGTGGAACAGGAGGTATTTCTTTGTTAAATCATTTCTTTGACTGTGGAGAATGACGGATTCAGTCAGGGTTTAGAGGAATGTTTGGCTGGCAGATGTAATGTTTGATAGTCCTTAGCTCAAATGCTGTATTAGGAGGCAGTCAGTAATTTGTGAAGAAAACCAGATTTTTAGATAGGGGGATTTTGGTGTTTTTTGTAGTAAAAGAAAAAGGTTGAATGTGCCTTCTGGAAATTGCACACTCTTTTTTTTCCCATGTGTAATTTTCTTTAAATAGACCATCTTCATATAGATACACTAATACTATATCAGATATGGCCACTCTGGTATTTTAAAATCAAACACAATTATTTTGTCTTTGGGTTTGATAATTTACTGACTTCTGAGCCATCATGTTCTGATGATGTCTTTCTGCACATGAAAGAGCTTCAATTTTTTGGTGAGTGGTTTTGAAATTTCAGTATATACAGTAGTTACACAGGTGGTGGTATTTCTGTGTCTTTATATAGTATAATCCATTTCCGTGCTACAGAGTCCAATTAAGTGCGCTTTTTTATAATAATAAATAGACTGTTCAAATCCTGGGTGAAAATACTGGGTAGGGCAAAATCTATACGGATCCATACAAGATCTTGGCCAAGAGCCATACAGATAATGACATTGTAGCTTTTAAAAATGGTTGTAAGGTTTAGGAATTAGTTTTGCTTGATTAGAGAGAGTTTTGAAACTGACTGGCAAAAAGGAAGGTAGAAGGGTTAGTTTCAAAATAGATACTTCATGTCATTTTTTGAGACTTGTGTGCTGTGGCATGTTTAAAAATAATGCTAAAATGTCACAAAAGACTGAAAGCTGATTTCTTCCAGCATGTTTGTATACGTGCCTAAATCTTTCACTGAATTTTGAGGATTGTCAGGGTTGCCCAAACATTGCTCTCAGCTTAGAGCTTGTGCTGCTGATATGAATAATCTTTCTGGTGACAACTGTGAGGCAACTTTCCTGACTCTAAGTGAGGAGAGGTTATTTCTGTTATCTCAGAGCAAAGGTACGTACACGACAGCAACCACGGTGTTAAGTGGCACTCTGTGAATCAATACCTTTGCTTGCCTTTCGGCAACTTGTTTGGGAAAGCATACGCTTAGCCTCCCCCAAACCTCATGCTTCAGATCTGAAAAATTTCAAAACACACAACTATCTATCTGCAATAAAAAAGCAAAGAGAAAAGGGATTGTTCCATAATCCTTCGCAGTCTGTTGAACTATTTTTCTTTAAATACTTCCTGGCCTTTGGCTGTCATAACTGTGTCTGGAATAGGTAATGGTTTCACTGAAAATTGATCCATACTAGCTGTCCATACATTCATATGGTGTTTGTGGGAGACTGATAACTTTGTATGGAGTGGTTTATATCTGATTTTTTTTTTTTTTTTGTACCTTTACAAAGAGTACTTGAAAGAGTACTTTTATGAAAGGAGATGTAATTACAGGAACAATTTTTTGATCCATCAAAAAAATGTGAGGCTAGAAATTAACATTTGTGTCTGTTCTGATGTGTTAATAAATGGTGATAATAAGGTTCTTTAAATCAGGTGAGATAGATTCTGAAAATTAAAAAAAAAAAACCAAACTTCACCTATGGTTCCTGTTTCTGACCAATGCTGCTATATTTTCAAGTCAAGGTAGAGAGGCAGTGACCAATACAGTAAGAAAATCATTTCCGTTAGCAGAGGATCAGGTCATGTGTGGGGCTTTGTTGGAGCAGTGCAACTACAATAAGAAAAGAGGGCTTGCAGCGTTAGACAGCTTCATGAGCTCTGGTTAAGACTGATAGTGTAAAGGTGTCCTTTTTGTTGTTCATAACGTTGTGACAGCTCCTCCCTTGGGAAATGAAGCTTTCCAGACTTGGAATTTGCTTCAAAGTAATACATTTTTTTAACTGAAGAAGAAACAGCTTTGCAGGTTTCTATAATTACTTTTTTAATAGCTACATAGCTACATGCAGGTATCCTCATGGGTAATTTTTTTGAACAGCAGGGAAGCAGGAATTGCAACTCTGAAATCTGCAGGTAGAGGAGAGTCTCCCAAGAATTCTTTGTTATTTTGGTAGAAACACACTTTGGGTTTATAGCTAGAGCTCTTTGAAGACTGCTTGCTGTGCATGTGTAATGTTTGTTTAATTTATTCAGCTCTGCTTTTGAGATGCATCCTGGTCACACCTCTGAGAGGGTAACACAAAGGTTGCTACAGTCCTCTGAATGCTGTTATAAATCTAATTCATGTTGCACAGTTAGTGGTACCTAATGATAATTCTATCTCTATTTTTTTAATGTCATGCTTTCAATATTTGCAAAAAGTGTTGTGTTTGGCCTCACCCTTTCTGTCAGGTACTGTGACAGCACACAGCTAGCTGGCTAGCTACAGCATCATTTTTGTAGTAGGAAAACTCCCATTAGCTTAGCATTAAGATTTCTTTATTCTGTTAGTGTCTTCACTCTCTCTTAGGGGCAGAAGTTCACCTTTAAAGCAGATAGCAGAACAAGTCCATATCGAATAGATAAAGGAGGAGTCAGTGTTATCTCCCTATAATCTCGCCAGACTTGTAGGCAGAATGTTTCAAATTTCAGGCCACATGGTTTTCATAAGTATTGCCAAATTGCAAGCCCATGCAGCTTGAAATCCCTGACCAGAAAGTGGTATGTGGAAATTGGTGGTGGCAACATGCTGAAAAGGACCAAAAAGATAGCAAATGCCAGCAATAGCTTGACATGAGAAAACATATAGATGAAAGACTAACCTGCCTTCCTCCTCAGTACCATAATATAATTATGTTTGACAGATGAGGAAAATGACATGTTTTAGGATGTGTGTAAAAGTTGGATCATAAATTTTTAACTTTCAGTTGTTTGGAAATCAGTGGGTATAGGTTTGTAGGTGCCCACAGAACCCTAAACATTGCCATTTAGTTTCTTTTAAACACTTGAGTAAACTTTTTATATACATAACATATATTTATGGATTGTTGTAGTTACCTTCAGGAACAAGGATTGTTGATTTATGTAATTCGAAAATAGCAACCATGCAGTCATGCAGCACAGTTGCAACATACCTTAAATTTGCACAACTGATGGTAGCTTAAAGGTATGCTTACACAGATGCTATTAACATTAACTATTACTGTGCTTTTTTGTTGAGTTATTACTTGTTTATCCATCTGAAAAATATGAAGTATGCTGTCCTTGTTATATATGTTTGCTTCCTTTGCCCAATTTTCATCTGTATCTTCAGGTTAAGTGGGCTAAAGAAAATTACCATCACAATATTGGCTCTCCATATTCTTTACGCTTAGCTTCTGCTGATGTTACTGGCAAAATAATTGTATGGGATGTGGCAACAGGAACCGCTCGTTGTGAAATACAAGAACATGCAAAACCAATTCAAGGTAATGATAGTGCATGATGTTTGTATAGAAGTTATTTTATGGGGCATTGTGTACAAATCCATCACCTACATTTTGCAAACTAGGCTCAGTTCTGCCATTGAATTTTACTGTTGGGGTTACTAGCTTTCTCTATGTTTGTCTGCTCAGGTTCTGTGTAAACAAGACTTACTGTCTCCCAGAGAGACACTGTGAGGTTTAATTCATTGTGGTAATATTTTCGAAGATCTTCTGAAAAGAAGTCACAATCTGTTGTTATTAATGTTATTGATTGAAATAATAATATTGACAGTGTCAAGTACATCTTCCTGCTTTTGAATTGGGGATGTAGTGCAGTTTGCGTTGCACCTGAATGTTAATGTTGTCAATAGCGGTGTAGTACTTTAAGAGTATTATGCTGCTGTAAGTTAAGAGTGTTGATTGTGCACATATACTTTGACAACTGTTTAAATAGTTCATTATATAGCTACTTCTGATCAAATATACTAGTACAATAACATGCATTTGCAGTGTAACTAGAGAAAGAAAGTTTTTTTGAGCAATTTAAAAATTTTTGAGAAATTTAGAACATTTCCCTTCTGCCACCTGCCCTGAGAAACTACCTTAATGAGTTTCTAAGAATAATTTATACTTTATTTGGACTATTTTAAAAACTTGTGATGAGGCTTGTGTTATACTGGTTTTTTTAATTTTGAATTCTATTATATGAAAGTCCACTTATGAAATTAGGTTGTTTGTTTTCCTTATTATTCTGTTTTTATAAATCCTGTGAAAGTAGGTACAATACAACCTCTCCTACGAGGACAGGCTGAGAGAGTTGGGGTTGTTCAGCCTGGAGAAGAGAAGGTTGTGAGGAGACCTTATTGTGGCCTTTCAGTACATAAAGGGGGCGATAGGAAGGATGGGGGCAATCTTTTTAGCAAGGCCTGTTGTGACAGGACAAGGAGTAATGTTTTCTTAAACTACAGAAGAACAGATTTAGACTGGCTATAAGGAAGAAATGTTTTACAGTGAGGGCGGTGAGGCACTGGAAGGGGTTGCCCAGAGAGGCGGTGGAGGCCCCATCCCCAGAACCATCCCAGGCCAGGCTGGACGGGGCTCTGAGCACCCTGGGCTGGTTAAAGCTGTCCCTGGCACTGCAGGGGCTGGGCTGGGGGGGCTCTAAAGGTCCCTTCCAACCCAAAGCATTCTGTGATTCTAATATTGTAAGTCTGCAAGTCTGATAGTGGGACATTGAAAATTTATTCCATTGACTGCAGTTAATCTTAACAGTTTTATTTCTTTTTTTTTGTGTGTGTGTTATAAATAGCATTTTATTTACTCCTGACACCGATTCACTGAATGTTTGGTGGAATTTTCACCATGCCATTTGAAGTTTTCTCCAGGTTTTCAGACCCAATGAAGCCTTTCCAATCTGCTGGGCAAGAAAAAAAGTTAATAAGCAATAGAATTAAAATTCCGTTCCATCCTCAGTCCCTGATTTCATTCGGCAATAATGTCTAACAAAAGCAGCTTCTTTTCCTTTCCATCTCTTTCTGAGGCCTCTGGCTGTTTTTTTTACAAGTCTGTAGAAAATGGTGCAAATACAGAGATTGAGCACCCAAGTGATCTGCTCGTTCTCTGTGTGTTACCTGCAACAGCTTTGTAGGATAACAGCTGGAGCCGCTGTTTCAATGAGGGGAAAAGTGGTGCTTCAGTGTAAGGCATTCTTCTTTATTTGATCCAAACTCTGTGTTCACCTGGGAAGGAGTTAACCATTTGTTAACTTACAGTGTAACTGATGGACACACATGTTGCATTTTTTTTTTCTCTGAAACCCAGCGAGAAGCACTTATCAGCTCTGAAACAGCTGAATTGATAAAACAGAAGAATGGCTGAGGAAGGAAGTTTTTTCGACATCTTTATATATGACCATGCTTTAGAGAAGCTGCGAGTTGGTGAGGTCATGCAGTGAGTGGTAGGAGCTGGACTGGGGGGACTTTATCCATTGCCTGCCTGACCCTTTCTATTGTCTAAAACACTGCCCCGTGGAGTGGGGCTAATACAGCTCCTTTCTAATAAAAGAGGTGGCTCCCTGTTCTTATTGACAGAAAACATAGTCTTTTATGTCCTTTTATCTTGAATGTTTAAATGGTGCCCAGCTGTGATGATTGGCAGCCATACCTCTTCAGATTGACCTTAGCATTTAAGTACTGTACTTGTATTCTTGATTGTCTGTTACACTCAGATTCATTTTACTCTTAAACTTACGGCGCTCTGTTAAAAAGCATTGGAAGTGGAGAAGATGTTTGTTTCCAGGTCCAGTACTGATACTATCTCAGATATTAATTTGGGATGGTGTGCGGTTCATGGTTGTCGTGGTTTAGCCCCAGCCAGCAGCTAAGCACCACACA